AACGCCGTGTTGCTATGGATGTTGGTTCTGCAAACGTGACCACGTAGGAAGACATTCGGGCATTCGTATGCGTTATCAAAGTGTGTCAGGCATCTGTCCATGACGGCTCCACTCATGTCTTGGGAAAATCCGCCATTGTCATAGACATCAGCTTCCATAGCAAGGAGCTTGCCCTCTTTCGATACCCCGACTTTCCATTGCGCTTTGAACGGATGTCTTTGGCCACTGAGCAACATATCTTCATCACGGTTCAGCATGATGCGGACTGGTCGTTTCTCTTTTCTAGCTGCAATTGCCGTGTAGACAGCAAAGGGCACACTCCGAGATTCTTTCCCACCAAAACCGCCTCCCATGCGCTTGACACGAGCGTTGACACGGTTGCTTGGTATCCCCAATACTGAACTGACAAACTCTTGTACTTCCATGGTGTTTTGGGTCGAAGACCAGACTTCGATAGCTCCGTCTTCTCCAGATGGTATAGCCAATGCTGCGTTCGTTTCGAGGTAGAAATGTTCCTGACCACCTAGCCTACACATGCCTTCGAAGATCCTGTCGCATTGGGCAAACGCATCAGCCATCTTATCGTCAATAGCCAGGCCCTTCCTCAGAAACTTCCCATGTGGAAAGTAGCTGTTAGCTGCAATGGCTTCATCGATAGTCAGAATGTGAGGCAGCTCTTCGTATTCAACCTTGACAGCTCGAGCAGCTGATTGAGCCTCCAACGCTGTGTCGGCATAGACCATTCCAATGACTTGGCCGTGTGACAAAACCTTGTCTTCGGCGAAGAACGGCTCATCTTTCTTGATAGATCCCCAAATATTCACGTCAGAAGGAATGCTATTTCTGTCAATGTATCCAACAACACCAGGCATATCAAGCGCTCTGTCCCAGTCGATGCTCAAGATCTTGGCATGTGCTTTTGTAGATATGACAAGGCCACCAAATAGTTCCCGATCCAGTCTCGGCATGTCATCAATATACTCGGCCTCACCTGTGCATTGCTTAAGAGCGGAGAGATGAGGGATTTGCCTGCCAACAACACGCTGCTCGTAGGGGTTGTAGTTGTCACGCGTTCCACTAGAGATATCACGATGAATCTCATCTACAACCTGCTGATCAACATTTCCGAGCCCAAACTCAGCGGCAGCTTCGTGCCAGAAGCGGAAGAAGAGCGAAAGTGTGAGAGTCTTGCGGTAATCAGCCATACCACCTGGAACGCTATATGGAAGGTCGTAATCCCGTGTCAACGCAGTAAGCGCAGCATCTAGCGTCTCCGAGTGAAACCATGGCTTGCCGAGAAGAGCACTCTGTGTCTTTGGCGAATCCTTAGTCATTGGCGCCATGCCACCAAAAACGATGGACGCATCCTCGACCCGTCCGGCGGAATCGAGGCGCACCCTGAATGCCGCCGTAACGATTGCAATATCATCATCTTTGCGCTTAGCCTGCTTGTACGCTTTGAGCACCTCTCTGGAATCTTTTGGTGGTAAAGGTATCCGGATGCTATGCAAGGTTGCATCGGGAGGCAGACTCGTAGTCCTGTATGCTACAAAGAATTTGGACATGGGAAGGTGAACGTTACCATCCCTCTTGTTGATAGCCTCTAGTGTGGCACCTGCTGCCAGCAACACGGGATTCGCGTCCGATATGGGCGAGGCGGTTGCAATATTACCAGCCAGCGACGCTACGTTGCGAATCTGGCGACCAGCAAAGTAACGCAGTTGTTTTCGGAGAGCTTCTAGAACCATTGCACGCTTACCAAGCTTGGCACAGACCGTTTTACATATCTCCTCTAGTTCGGTCAGTGGAGTGTTGGCTGCAATGACAAGCTCCTTGGCATTCTCGAGTTGAGCATCCATAGGGATCTTAGTATGCTTGAGCTCTGGGATATCTGAAATGTAGACAGACACTGCAAAATCCGAATTCTTGAAGCGAACCTCCACCTGGACTTCACTGGCACCTCCAACGAGCTTGGCCGATGGAAATGCATCCTTGAGGTCCAGTAGCTGGTCAAGCTTGGTAGGTCGGAACCAAATCTTCTTGTCGTTGCCGTAACATATCGATTGTGGTTCGTGCTTCCACAGCGCGGAGGGGAAGATGAGCTCTGTGTCTGGCGTGTATTCCTGAAACTCTATTCTTGGGATGCCCTTTTCTGAGTTTGCTGCTGGTGCAAGGGCGGCAGAAGTTGAAGTTTTGGTTTGAGTGGCTGCATCTCCTTCCTTGCTTTTCAAAGGTTTCGCATATTCTGCACCGCTAATTGCAGGGTCTGCCTGCGGAGGCTGTTTTGTGCCCAGGGCGGCAGGCGTATGCTCACCTTCGGATGTCGAAGTAGGCTCTGATGGCGGTGAGGAAGTGTTAGACTTGCTATCGGCGGAGCTGCTATCTGAGGGCTCATCCCTGCAACAGCCCCCTGGACGACCGCAGGAAACCTTGGAGGGTCCTGTACATCCGCTGCGGGTAAGATCAGTGACATCGTCTTCGAATCGCCCAGCGTCTAGTGTGGTTGGTCCATCTTCCTCAGCTAGTTGGCCCTTCAAGTCTTCGGCGACGAAAGTCTTTGCAGCCTGCAAGATAGGCTTGTAACCCGTACAGCGACACAGGTTGCCATCTAAGTGACCTTCCATCTCGATTTCACGGGAACTTAGATGAAACTTGTTTGTGTCGGGATTGTATGCATTGCGCACAATGGCATAAAGACTCATGACGATACCAGGAGTACCTACGACATTTGTCAGTAACCTGACCAGGCAGCTGCAAATCTAGACACTGACAGAATCCACACTGGCTGCCATGAAGTTTTGCAATCCTCTCTTGCAGGGGGTGTGGTCGGCTAACACTGCCAATGCCCTCGACGGTGATGACATGCTTGCCGTCGATACCCACTAGCGGGAACAAGCATGCGTTCACTGACAGATGTTTAATCCGTTTCTTCTCGGACTGCGAGTCTGCGACTTGAAGTACGACTGTACATGCGCCACATCCACCTTCGCCACAGCCCAGTTTGGTACCTTTGAGATTGGGCTGGGCGCGAAGGTAGTCAAGCAGCGTCCAGTGGGGGTTTGGGTTGCTTATGACGGTCTTCCTGCCGTTGATATATGTTGTTATATTGGGTGTTTTGTATGTCGCTTCGATCAAGGGTGTGAGGGCGTCGACAGCGGAATGCGCCCGAGGTGGGTCTGCAGCGCTACCTTTCGGCGGAATGGGGAGAGACATGGCAGATCCACGGAGAGCCTGTACAAAACAGACGACAAGAGCCCGGACAAGGGATGTGATGCTCTTCTCGTGAGCCTGGCAGAACGACGCTGACAACTCTCCAGCCTCTGCATGATCAAATCGACAGCACTGTCACGTGACGATATCGCCGATAGGCCTGATTGGTGTGGGTAGAGGCTAACCTTCCACTGGCGGACAACTTTGTCTGGCTGGAACGCTCTACCCGCAACACCCCACTCTTCCTTAGCTACCACTACTCGCTTTCAATGCCGCTGTAATACGCGGCGTTAACGCATATTTGCACAATCAGCACTCACACAGCAGTGCAACCACGAGAACGGATTCGTATGGCGGATCATTCAAATACCTAGTTGTTTCCCCCGACAGTCAGACAAGCGTACCCAAAACCCATTGGTGCTGCTGGCACCGGAGTCTGTCTTGGCTTTTGCAAGTACTACGCGTGACAGCAAACCCTGCGATTGTTGAGAAGGACCAAGAACAACACTGAGAAAACATCCTGACATCCTGCAACAAGGTGGCATCAAATCCATCGTAGCAGGCAACTTCAACAGATCCGATGCTGCGTCAAAGGTGGAGGCTACCAATGTCGACTTGGTCGTCTCTGGTCGACAGTTCACTGCGAGCTTGTCTCTCTGAAAGAAGCTGGCTAAAGGCCTAGAATCGGATCAGTGCAATCAAAACCTTTTCTACAGCGCTGATCTTCCCCTCAAATGGTTTTACCGGCTACTCTGCTTACAGACAGACTACTTGTTCCTACAACTCGATTTTATGATTCCGTTCAGTACGTTAATGCTGGAATTAATTTGGGGCATTGCAAAGCACATGCAATCACCCCAAGTCTCTATAGAAGTAAGTTCTGTAAATGACGTTCACTAGACGTTGCTACCCGCTAGTACACACAGCTGGTGGCTGGGAAAGAAGCAAATACAAAAGCAATGTGATCATTACCACTGGAAATTAACATGATGTAGATCGTGCCTCTAACAATTTTCATAGTGGTATTCCGATGCATGGCTAAGGGCTCTTGTTCCATTGGCTTTGCAGCCGCTGCCCAAACTTCAACTAGTTGAGTCGGTCCTTCCCGACTACCCGAGTCTCACTAGACTGCTTTGCATCAATCCTTTTTCTCAACTTCCTTTCTCGTAGTTTCACCAACCTACTTCCAGTGCATCGATCGAGTTCTCGGCCCCGGCTTTTCAGCCCCAAGTACCGCTTTCGGATACAAGGATGTAGTCCCGCATACCAACAGCCGGTGTCTCCTGCAACAGTATCTTCAGCTGGTGCACGGTTTAGCCACAACCTTCTCTACCATGCCACTTTTCGGACTTCGACAACTCGTATCCTGACCTTGACACAGACAATAAACTATTTTTTCGGTCATTGCAGATGGCGCTTTTCCTCCATGAGTAGTCTTCGCCGACCGTCATCCTGGACTACTTGGCAGAATCTCTGGAACAGTTGCTACAAAGACTTGCCAAGGCTGTCGTCAACTCTCCGTCTGCTCCGGATGCTAGACACGACAAGGCGGCTGCGGTCAAGCTGGTGTACAAACTACGGGAATTAAAGCACCTCGGCATAGAGACCACTTCCAGTTATTGTATCACGATCAAACGCATCGATGCAATATACAGGACGCATAATTTGGAAATAGCACGTCATTTTTTAAGCCCCAGCATGCAACGTTTTGGCTCCTGGACCACAACCACCATAGTTTGACTGGATACATAAGCAGCCCTTTAAACTCCGATCCGGTTGGACCAATCGATATTCCATATCTAGCTACATATGACGCAGAATTCTCCTTCATCAGTATTGATCAGGGAACTTCCATGCTCTTCCATCTGCGGCCGAACGGGTGGCCTGAGTTTAAGGATTCATCAACTATGACTACAGGCGCCACAATACGCACGTTCATGGACATGGACTCCATGCAAATATCGGCTGCAGCTTTCATCGTGGAGATACATGGCAAATTTTCGACATCGAAAAGGATTGATTTGATGGAAGAATTCCCGCAATCTAGATCTTCGGTTACCGTCGCTATTTTAGCCGTAGTGGGTCGCCATCAGTCCGGATACAGTGCATCAACGTGACACAAGAACTGTATTTGGTATTAATGTATATGTATGTTTTATATTGAGGATCATCTAAATAGCGTGGTAGCTCGGGCGGCTAGGGCCAGTACCCGCTGCCAGGTACAACATGGACTGGCTCCGCACACTGCACCACAAACAGGGCCGACCCTTTTCTAGATTTTTCGACTGCAACTATCGCCTGAGAATTTCGTTCGAGAAAAGATCTCCGTCTGCAAGACAATAACTTGACAATCTGTGGCATGATGTCTATTCTCCTTCCTCTCTACATCTACCCCAGTCCCGGTGCTTGGGATCCACTCTATGCAGCGTATGTATACACGATCCTTTTATTCCTCTCATTCTAACAGAGATCAGGGCAAAGGCACACCGCGATGTTTCTTTTACAGTCGTGCTCAATCCCTGCTCTGGACCCTGCATGGGTTCACTGCCTGACTCAGTATACCTGGACGAAATCCCCAAACTTGCTCAATACCCCAATATCCGTACCTTGGGCTATGTAGCGACGCATTACACCAAAAAGACCGTAGACGATGTCTTGGCAGAAATCGACACATACTCAAGCTGGCCCTCCGTAACGAACGTGACAAGCATGCGCGTCGACGGCATCTTCTTCGACGAAACACCTAGCACTTACACCCCAGAATCATATGCCTATCTCGAACGCGCAACACATGCAGTCAAGAATACGAGTACGACGTTCAAGAAGGGCTTTATTGCGCACAACCCCGGTCTTGTCCCTCTAGCGGACCTCACCTCACCCGGCTATCTTGCAGACTCGTACTTCAACCTCACCGATCTCACCGTTGTCTTTGAAGAAACTTTCGAAAAGTACCTAGACAAGGACACAATGGGGCCTCTTTCCAAGGCAGCTGTCCCGAATTCAAAATTGGGAGTCATTCTGCACTCTGTCCCAAGGCTAAATCAGGATGTGCTGAGCTATGTGATTGGGAAAGTTGAGGAAGCTGCCGACTGGGTGTTCTTGACAAGCGGGATTGAGGGCAACGGATACCATGACTTTAGTGAAGTGTGGCAGGGCATGGTCGCAGTAGTCGGGAAGGGAAAAGGTGAGGGGACTGGGTGGAGAAATTAGAGTGGGGATAGACAGTGAAGGGAGTGATGAGCTTTCATGAAGGATTTTTGGCTTTTGGGGTTCACTTCTTCTTTATTCTTTGTTCAAGAATTCTCAAATGGTTTATGTGGGTATTTAGATGGTTGCGTTTTGAGGCGCAACGAGTTAAGCCGTGTTTCTTTTTGCTCATTTTCTCTTCATGGTTAGATTACATTCTTCAAAAACTCTATTTCTTAGAAAGCTCTCTGCACCGTGAATTGAGCAGTCATTTTTGTTGGCCACACGTAAACGCCCTTTGAGCAGTGACACCAAGCAGGGATATGCATGTAAGTTTGGCTTCTTAATGAAAAGTTTATTACTGAAAAATCAACCATTAGTTTTGTAAAGTTAGACATAGTGGAGACCCTTTTTATACACCATTCCCCCGCATCTCAGCCTGCACTCTCTTCTTCTCCGCCAACTCCTGCCGCCACTTCATACCATCCCTCATCACCCACAGTGCCACCGGTAACAACGCCACGTAAATAAATGCAATCAGCGTAAACGCCCACCCGGGATTCATCGCGCGACACATTGGCAGAATGGCCGCCGACCCACCCGCACTCATTAGACACCTCGCAAAATTCACCGCCGCCGTGGCCGCCGCCGGCTGATCACGATGTAACTCAATCAACAACCCATTCGTAATATTAAACGCACTCGTAATACAAAACCCCATGACGCCCAGCGCAATCTCCGGGCCCGCAATATGCGTCTTGAACCGCAGCGTCCACGCAAACATGACAATACCTAGCACGCCGACTACGTGGTTCGGCAGCAACACCTCCATGCGCACGCGCTCAATAGGGAAATTGCTGAGATCCTGCTGCTTGCCCGGGATAATCACCAGCCCAATTTTCCGGGCGTGGCGTCGGAAGTTCCAGTCGACGACGCGGCCCATGGTTAAGGAGGCGATGAGAGAGGCCACGCCGTTGGAGATGTAGCAGAGTCCGATGTCAAGTTCGTCGAGGCCGTAGGCTTCGTGAAAGAGATCGGGGATCGCCGCTACGGTTACCATTAGGCCTGTGAAGAAGAGGCCGTTGTACAGGAGTATGATGCCTGATTCCTTTTCACCCAGGATTCTCATCGTAGCTAATGGGTTCGGCCATGCCGTCTTGGTGCGCGGAGGCAGTGGCGCCGTTGTTTCCTGGGGGAATTTACGGCGGAGTTTGCGCTGCTGGATGCAGCTTATGACTGAGCGGTTTACGCCGCGGGGAGGAATAGAGCCGTTTCCTACGACTTTACGACAGGTTTCTGGGAAGAAGAAGACGAACAGGATGAGGAGGGTGCCGGAGAAGATGGCGAGGAACCAGAAGATTGCGCGCCAGCCTAGGTAGCGGGAGAGGAGACCGCCGATTGTAGGGCCAAAGGCCGGGCCCATTAAGACGCCGGCTTGCGCGTAGCCCATATAGGTGCCGCGGTCAGCGGAGGTGGTGATGTCGGCTACGACGGCCATTGTCAGGGCTATGGCTGCGGAGCCGCCGATTGCTTGAACCATTCGGAGGATGAGGAGGGCGACGTAGTTTGTTTGCAGGGCGAGTCCGATGTTGCCTATGCAGTAGATTACGAAGCAGATTATGAATGTTAGTCTTCGTCCGCTGTTGTCGGAGAGAGTACCGAGGAAGGCTGGGGCTATGGCTTGGGCAATCTGTGGATGTTAGATGCTAGGCTATGCAATCGGGTGGTGTAAAGAGCTTAGGTTGATTTTTGGAAGGTTGGGGAAGAGCCTGAAAGAGACGAGGAATCCTCAACGAATTATTCGACACATACCATGTACGTCGTCAGCGAGATATTGACCTGCGTAGGCGTGATATCCAACACGTCGGCCAGTAAGTTGAGTGCGGGAAACACCATGGCGGCACCAAACGGCGATATCAAAGCGGATACGGAAACAAGAGCAATAATCCATATCCTCATTCCCTCGCTAAACACCGAATATGGCTCTTCTGACACCCGTTGCTGTATCACTTCCGACGTCACATTATCTTCAACATCCATCTCCTTCTCCGTCGCAGCATCTACACTGACATCCTCGGCCGAGCTCTTCGAAGCAGCCATCTCAACGCCCTTTATCTTTTCTCCAGCCAGAAACAAACTACAACGATTGTATCTTCAAGTTCGCAGAAGGAATTAGTCAAGTATAGCGCAAGCGTGTCAGATGTAACATTGGCGAGACAGGCAAAACACAGTCATTGAGATGCAGGGAAAGAGGGAGAGGGAGAGGGAGAGAATCAGAGGGTTGGACACGCATGCTGGGCTACATAATGTGGATCACACTCCGCACATGATGCATGTGCTAACCGCCCTATCGAACGGCGGCGCTAGGGAAGTGGAGGAACAAAGCCCATGGTTCGCTGCAAACTGCCAGGACCGTTGCTTCCCTCTCATCCCCCAGCCCGATACCGATTGCGTTCGCTATCTAGCCTGCATCTTGTCTATTACATACGGCAGGTTGCCGGTTTTGGCCGTTCTGGTAGTGACGATTCTCTCTATTGTCGACTGCTGTACGCTAACTCGGTTGCTTTGCAGTTACACCGGTGTAGGGTAGTTAGTTCTAGGCTTAGATCGATTGAGGATGGACCGAGTCAGGTGGGCCCCCACTGGGTAGCTTCAATGACGGAAGCCAGCTTCCGGAGATAGCAAAGTGCGAAGTGCTATTTCCGACCTGGGTCGGAGTATAGTATGCCGAAGAAGAGATATTATTCCCGGTGTTTGGATATCGTTCAGAATGATGGGTTGGAGGGTCGAGACAAGCTTTTGGACTCGGAGTACTAGTTATGGCGGGGCGATGGTTAGTGGATGGAGTGCGGTGCGGTATCGGCGCGTTTGCGAAATGTCCATATGGCCTCGGAGTTTTATATATCCCCTAGTGCCTTGGGCAAAGAATACATAAATAGTGCTGTGGAAGAAGAGAAAAGACTGCCACAACACAAACAAGTAAATTGAAGGAAAAGTGCAGCGCTAAAGATTCAATGACTATGCCAAAAGAACAGAGCTCCTCCCATACTAGTATGCGAGATCCACATGGCCACTGCTCGTTGTAGTTTCCAACCATAAACGCCACTATCATGCCTTCGTAGATTCTTTTATAGCCACTCCCCATAACCGTTGCAAGCTCTTTGAGTTAATTGTATTGATCGTCGTCGCCGTGGAAGAACCTCAGCACAGCCTTGGCTACAACCAATCCATCATGCATCCAGTCAGCTCTTTCAGCAGCCTCATCAGCCTCCTCCTTGCTCACACTGCCGCTGTCTACCCTCATCTCCAATTGTCTCTTGACAAGTTTCTCATCAAACTCCATATGTCCCTGCGTGGTGAATAATCTCTTTTGAATATACACGCCCTGAACGCCAGTGTGATCGCTCGTGCCCCAAACATGTACTTTAGTACCCTTTGGCAGCAAGTCTGTTGTTTCCGGTGAAGGGGGATTAACAACATGGTCCAAGTGCATCTGGTGAAGGTGGATCTTGGTCTCGGTCTCTGGCAGATTGAAGAGTTCGCGGCCGATTTTCATAAGCTCGATCGGGTGGTGTGACAGCTCCCACTCGCCGTTCTTTTCTGGTTTCACGGTAGAACCTAGTGTACGGCAGAGAATCTGGTGGCCAAAGCAGATTCCTGTAAAGCGGATATCGGGGCGATTTTGCCAGACATCTAATGTTGTCGTCAGCCATTATTTCGCTTGACAACCCGGAAACCCGATTTACGCACCTCTGATGAACTGCATTAGTTTCAAGATCCATGGGTCATCGCCATGTGCATCCCAACAACTACCGGTGATTAGAATAGCGTGTACATCGTCTTGAATCTCTTCTAGTGTCGGTATTTTGCCACCCTCTGGCTCAACAACATATTGCATAGCCGTCTCAATGCCCAGCTGCGGATCATGCTCGTCTCCAGCCTTCTTAAGGAGTTCGCCCAGTACAACGCCAAAGGAACCAGTCTCTTTCTGAGTATCGGGGTGTGTCTCATCGGTCTCGAGAACAAGCATGCGGACCTTATCCGGGTGGTTGGAGAGAAGTGTGCGGTTTTGTGCTATTGGTGGTACCATTTTGGCGGTACATGTGGAAAACTGATGTGGTGAAAAAGAGAGCAGGGATTGTGAAGGACCTGGGTTTGAAGAAATAGTCGTCCGCATCCGTGGTCTAGGAAAGCTTTTGGGAAGGCATGACGTCTGACGAGAACTTTTTTGCACAGAGGCTATGACGCGTACAGGCTTGTACATGATCAAAAAGAGTTTAACAATTTCAAAGAACTAGTTTTTCTGGCTGATAAGAGACGCCGCGGCTTTTCCAAGAGCCTCATGTACCATGTTTCGGCTGCCATCTTGGCCGTGTCATGTTCTGCTGTTGTATGACGAGCTTTCAGTTGACGTCAGATCGGCTGTGTCTACTACGTCTGGGGTTCAAAGTCGAACGTAATAGCGTAGTCTTGGAAGCGTTGGCGGTACCCAAATTCTGGGCGATTTCGGTATAACGCGGCAGCTATCCATGCAGGTACTGGAGATCGGTGTGGCTGCGTGGCTGAGCACAATGATCTAATTGGTCTATTGATTCGATGACTAATAAATAATTGTGGCTGGAAAGCCGTCTACTCCACGCCTTTGCCCTTCAGCTTCAAATCCTCCGGGTCATGTGGGGCATCGGCAAGCTTGCCGGTCGACTCTTTGCCGGTCAACAACTCAGTAAAGACCTTTTGCAGCGCTTCGATCGCCTCTTCTCCAATCTGATAATGTACAACCAGCCTGCCACTACCTGTCCTTACTCCGTACTTTTCCGCTAGCTCGATGAAGCTGTTGCTTTCGATCTGGTGGGCCGCCAGGTCCAACCAGACCATGTTTGTGTCTACCGGGTATTGCAGCTTGCCTCCTAGGTCGGTCCATATCTTCGCAACCCTCTTCGCGTTCTTGTGAGATTGTGCGAGTTTTCCGCCCAGGAACGTTTCTTCAATGGCGACGCGCATCGGAGCAGCGACCACACCAGCCTGGCGCAGCCCTCCGCCAATTGACTTGCGGATCCAGCGGCTGCGTTTGATGAAAGCTTTCGTACCAACAAGGAGACTTCCAATGGGCGCACCTAGGCCTTTGCTGATGCACAGACTGATGCTGTCGAACTCGGCACAATATTCCTTTAGGGAACCGGCGCCTGCAGCGACAGCCTCCCACAAACGCGCACCGTCCAGGTGCATGATGATACCATGTTGGCGTGCCCAAGCAGATATCCGCTTGACTTCAGAAAGAGGCATGATGGCACCGTTTAGTGTGTTTTCAAGAGAAATCATGCGAGTTGGGCAAGAGTGCACGTCATCTGAGAGTGTCGCGTACTTTTGAATATCTTCCAAGGTGAGGTATGTGCCATTTGTCGCGTCGAGAGACTGGACCATGGCCTGAGACAAGGTAGCTACACCTCCTGCCTCGTAGTTGACAATGTGCCCTCTCCGGTCGACAATTACTGCATGTGGAGGACAGGTGAGGTGTGCCCGGAATGCAACCTGGTTGCCCATGGTACCCGAGAGAACAAGAAGCCCGTCTTCTTTTCCGCTCAAGTCTGCAATGAAGCGCTCAAGGGAGAGTGTAGTAGGATCCTCCATGAAGACATCGTCAAGCAGGGTGCATTGCTGAATGGCCTTGAGCATGGACATGGTAGGGGTTGTGTGCACATCCGAACGCAAGTCAAAGGCGGCCGGGTTCTTTTCACTACCCCAGGCTGTGCCGTCGGAGGGCATGTCATTGGGCACAGTCTTGTTGCCCATGGCAGAATACTGGTCGAATTCGCCCATCGCGAGTCGTGCTGTTGTATGCAGGTTGCGAAGGGTGGGGTTCGCGGGGCGGGCAATGGATGCGGCGACGGCTCGAGTATTCGCAGTCAGGCTTGTTCCTTGGTGATGGGTGAGGTCAATTGGACCGGACGTGGATGGGACCACGTACTGAGAAGGCGCTGTAGCGGGTATAAACGTGTCCGCGGCATCGCAGGCTATGTCCAAAGTTTGATAGGGCGTGTGCGGCATCTCAAGAAGCGTTCGGAGCCGAAGATATGCGGCGGCTACTTTCTCGACACGGAACGCTCTCGACTCCGATTCGCCCACGCCTCGTCTATTCCCGGTTCCCCTTGGGAAGGCGACCACCTAACGTACATCGTACTCGTCACCCGCCCAGCTGCTTTGCATGCCATTACCTACAGAAAACTGACAGTATGCACTCGTGCCCTCTTCTCTCGCCATGACTAGCCAACGAAGGCCCTCCCCTGCCTGATGACCCCTCCTTTAGCTTACAAAACATGCCAACAAAGATATATTGCAGATCCGATAGCAGGGAAGTGCTGACAACTCTGATTTTTTATTTCTCGCTTCTAAGTGGAAACAAAACATCTCGACGTTGTGATTGCGGGACTTTCTTCCTGTCTTATTTGACACCAGCCTAGCATGTCGCTTGTAGTTGGCAGCAATGTGGATACACGAAAACTATTATTTTGGGTTCATACATCACACCATATCATCGGATCTATATCCGTCCGTATTGCATTGAAAAGGTTTCTGGATCATATCGACCATCGGTCTACACCATGCACGGATACCATTACTCTCCGCTTCTAAGCGCTGCACTTTTGCATTGAGTTCGGCTTGCTGTCATTTAGCACTTACTTCTTCACACCCTTTCGTCTAGTATCTAGTCTAGTTCAACGCCACAGGAGGAGAAGCGTCAAAACGATAGACCCAACTGATCAGATGATACGGTCAACCGACTCTTATTTCGACTTGAAATGCCTTGACTGATCCAGATTCAGCTCTAGGGAAAATAGACTTATATCAACTACGGTGTTGCCTATAAATGAGCCTAGATTGATCGTAAATATATTCTGCAATCTTACATCTACCAATCCAGCATCCAAACCTCATTATACCTTTACAAATACCAGAAGCTGAGTGCAATAACCAACACTTTCCTAAGCTGCTTGCGGTATCAATCCACATAGTTCTCGACCCCGACATCGATGCGTTTACACCACCAATCACGCCCTTCTAAACCTACCTAGAACCTACGACCTCCAACGGGCAACGGTCAAACTAGCCATACATGTCCTATCCCTGCAATCTGGAAGTAACTCCAACCTCTAAAACAACATTCTGAGTTCACACCGGCACGGTTGCCCTTATTGGCGTCGAACCGGACCGGACCGGTTGTGGGTGAGGTGCATACCCGGTTTTGTTTCCCTTTCTCTTCTGTGATAATCCAGGGTCCTGCGTATGTAATGTATGTGGAATAGTGGGTTGCTTATCGGTTCGAGGCAATTGGCTCGATAGATGAGCCTGGAGCTTGTGTATGTGGGTTGTATTGCAGGGGGTGATGGATAGAGTTTGAGATAATTCAGAGGAGGGTGTGTGGACAAGTAAAGAATGAAACGTCTTTATTTGGGAATTGAGGTATTGTATCATAAGTTTCTGACGGTAAGAAAACGTGGCGACGATGAACACGCTGGGATTATCTCATTGGAGGAAAGACGAGAAATGCGAAATTGGTGAAACTGAAAAGTTTAATCCGAGATTAACATAAAAGACAAGAGGATAAAGACAGTTGATCTATGGTATCTCCTAATTTGGTTGCAAGATGCGCCTTCCATAATCCACAAAGCAAACAAGCAATAATGTTATGTAAACAAGAAATCATCATGTGTGCACCTTCTCTTCCCCATCCCAGCACTCTCACACAGTCCTCAGCACACTCACCCCCACCTTCTCAGCTAAATCATAGATGGCAGCAACCACGGGATCAACATCCACACTCTTGATCGGAACCCGATGCGCGCCCGGCCACTCCACCAGCGTCGCAGTCCCCTTCTCACAATACTCATTCAGCAACTTTCTATGCAATTCCAGCCCTGGATCCGCCAAACCATGGACATGCAGCGTCGGCACCCTAAGCGTCGCCTCCTCATCCACCTCCTTGCAAAACTCAAACCCCTCTGATATCTTGCCCGCACTCACCAGCGTCTTGCTAGTTAGTAGCCTGGGATTGAGATTGGACAGCGGCGCCCTTCCCGCCAGCAACACGCCAAAGCGCCACTTGATATCTGGGAAACCGGTGAGCCCCGGTGTTATCGGCGCCGCAGGACCACGCTTTTTCGCTTCATTCTCGCGGGCCTGTTGCTCAAGCAGCAAACTCGCGGATAGTTTTGCGCCCTGGCTGAAGCCCATGAGGCCAACCCACTCGCCCGTTCCGCCCGCAGCGTCGTCGTCTTGCATGGCGGTGCGCATGGCGTAGCCAATCTCCTCGATGCACGTTTCCTCGTCGAGCTCAGGGTGCGAGGGTAGCCAGCGCAGCCACCGCCGGAAGGGCGCGTAGCTGCTGTACACGTCAACGACATCGGGGTGTGGGTCGCAGAAGAAGGGCGCGTCAACCCATACGAGGCGGAACGAGTGTTGCAGATGGCGGATTAGGCATCGTGCTTGCGCTTCGAAGATTGCGGCGTTGACGCCGCCGCCGTGGAGACAGAGGATGCGTGGGAAGGAGCGGTCGTCGGGCTTTACCAGGGGTATTTTGGAGGCGGATTGTGAGGGGAGCATGCTTGGGGAGATGCTGAAGAGGTGGACTTTTGGGGAGGGGAAAGAGGGCTGGAGAATGCAAGTTCTCACTGTAGAGGGCAATTATGGCGAATCGCAAGCATCACATGTACGTCTTACGGCTACGGGGGAAGGCCGCTCGGGGGAATATGCGGCTCATTCTTAGCCTGCCGCAACAGCGTTGAGAATAGGCATCAAAGTATTGAGGGCAGCGACTTGCGGTGGGCTCGGAGTCCGGAGCTGGGGGCCAGGGTAGGCCTAATGTCTTCTCTGCATGACACTTATGCTGTTAGACATACAGGCAGTTTTGTATGGATGTAGACTAGGAGTATTGTAGAGTCCGGCATATTGTCCGAGCTTGACGAGGAATGATGGGAAAAGGTATAGCGACAAAGGCAGCAGTGACAAGGAAGCTTGTTAGATAGGGCGGGGAACCGCTTCGGCTCAGAATTGCACTAGTAACGTCTATGCCTCGATTGCGATAGTACGCCCCCCATCACTAGACATAGCGCAGGTACTTGGGTAAAAACCGACTCCAGTCCTTTCAGCGTGCTATGCTGACCTACAGTCTTCTGTCAATCGTTTCTTAAGCCTGTAGTAGACTGCTGTCGTACGAATAGATAGCAAAATTACAATAGGGTTGCCGCCTCCATGCCTGATGCACTGGAGCCTTCTGTTGCGTACCAGGAAGCACAGCCACCACCACATTTATATCTAGGGTTTTACATTTGGTCAGAAATTTAATAAGATGATTAGCAGAACGACATTGCGCTCTCCGCTACACTATGATGGATCATTTTCAATACGAGCCACTTGATGCCAGTAGCAACCACATACGTCTACTCCGCTTTTCAGCCGAACCCGGCAGTCAGCCTAGCTACACTCTGCACGAATTTGACCTCAATGAATGCCCTCCATACGAGGCTTTGTCTTACACATGGGGACCTCCACTTCCAACGCGTATCATCACCTTGAATCAAAGACCGTTCGAGATTCGGGAGAATCTGGCAGACTTCCTTGACCGGATGCGAACTGGCATCACTCTCCTCGATAAGCATGACTGTCCTCTACCGCATCCCAAGTTTCTCTGGATAGATCAGCTTTGCATCAACCAGGCATCCGAGAAAGAGAAGTCGCACCAAGTTCGGCGCATGGCTGAGATATATAAACAAGCGCAGCGGGTTATTGTGTGGCTAGGTCGCGGTGACGAGCAGACTGGCAGGGTAATGCGTCTCATAGCGGATACGTGGTTCGCGGATGAGCTTCCCGCTGAAAATATTCCTCCAAATTCTCCTCCAAATCTTCCTCGGGTCGGTCTTTGGTCTGCTCTGCACAATGAGCACCGAGATTATCTCGATCGACTTCTCAAACATCGCCACAGCGTGGAAAACCTACTGCAACAAGCATATTGGAATCGGCTCTGGGTCGTCCAGGAATTTGTACTTGCCAGAGACACAGTGCTTGCTTGCGGTCCATGTGCCGTCACGCCGGCCGCCATTGAAAGATTGAGATCAATTTCTTTCTTACCGGCGGCATTCAGATATTGTCAAGATTATTTTATTACGATTCCGGAGCCAGTGCGTAACCTTTTTGATGCGCGACGCGCCAGATTCAATGGTAGGACTTTCTCACTACCTGAGTTGCAGTTAATAGCCCTATTACGTAACTTTTCCATGCGGAAATGCGAGGACCCGCGTGATAGGGTGTATGGTTTACTCGCACTGTGTAATGAAAAAGTCGACATTGTCGTTGACTACTCGAGGCCAATGGATGCAGTATTCCGTGAGGTCTTCATTACGCTCATCTATTTCAAAGGCTATGATGAGGAATGGTCTGTACAGCTCGCTAAAGATATGGGCGTCAAGCAGAAGCGTCCTGCGCCCAATGGAAGGTGGCATTAGTAGGCTTCAAAGGGAGTGTCAAAGTGGATACTGGCTGCAGCTAGATCTTTGGCAGCAATTTCTCAGGTATTGATTGAATGCTAGGTATGTTTGGATGCAAGTCCAGGGCAATTGCACTGATACTTGTATTTTTCACTAACCAATTAGCTTACTTCGTTACCTCACAACTACAGGTATATAAACTTGCAAAATCGACTTGCCGAAGGTTCAAAGTGTAGAATTGCCTCGACACGGGATGGTTCTCGTGACTGAGCGATTGACATTAGTACCTATGTAAGCTGCGGTGTAGGCATCTCTATGACCCGCACCGCAGAAGCATATCAATGAATCCTGGGATTGCCACTCGATATGAGCATACACCTTCCGGGCAAGACCAAGTCGTCATGTGATGATCCAGGCATCGTTTGTTATCGTATCCAGTTGACTGTTGCTAAATTAGGCTTAATATCGGAACTGTATGTATTTTGTTCTGGCCAAACAATCAACCCTTACACTCCTTAACCATCCCTTCAATTATCAATACATGCCGTCGATCATTCAATATCAATCCTAGCACTCAGGCACATTCATATTCAGGGGACTAATAGTCTCCTATACTTCCAAATATGTCCCTTGAAATAGCCCTACCCCTAAGAGGGAGCAGTTCATCAAACCTTGTCATCTTAGTTTCACCTCTTTATGTTACCGTCTAGGCAGCTGTTTTGGATGCATTGGCAGCATACTGGGAGAGAAACTGGGGGTCGTTCTCGAACTCCTCTTTGACCTGTAAATTTTGAGTGAGTATTGTAACTTATCACGGTAGAGGCAAGAGACTTACAATATCGAGACCACCAACAAGCTCACCATCAGCCCACAACTGAGGGAACGTAGGCCAATCGGCAAACTCCTTCAAACCCTGCCTGACCTCGTCATCGGCCAATATGTTGAAGAATCCATAGCGAATTCCCTTTTCGCGAAGAATGCTAACCGTTTGTCGGCTGAAGCCGCATTGGGGTGCGCTTGGTGTGCCCTTCATGAACAGCATGACGGGTGCAGCCTTGACGAGCTCTGATAGTCTTTGATGCAGCTCCTCCTTGCTTGTCTGTTGCTCGCCTGCAGTCTGCTCGGGCGCAGTCTTGGGATCCTGTGCGCTTGGTGTGTACCCCGCAAGATTCTTGCCTGCACTATCGCCATTCTCTTGGGGTCGTGTGACGGTTTGCGCGGGAGGTAGACTTGACTGGCCGCTGCCGGCGCCAGCATGCTTTTCGACTGCTGCTCGTACTTTTGAGGCATCAGAGCCCGAGACGGTCTCTAGGACTTTGCCGTCCTTCTGTAGGACGATGTATGGGACTGCGGTGACATCGTAGGTCTCGGAGACTTCTGGCAACTCTTCGGCGTTGATAGAGAAAAAGGATATCGGTGCGTCGGCCGGGTATGTGCTGGCGAGTGTCTTGAGGACAACTGACATTTGCTCGCATGGCTTTGCCCATGGTGCGTTGAAGTAGATGACGGCGAGTGTGGAGGCGGGGAGGGCGGAAATGGTCGACTGGAACGCCGTCTCATCGGCGATCTCTTGCAGGGTAGCCATTGTAAAGTAAGTGTGGATTGATCAGAGTAGACCGTGAATCGAGTGCGGGATGTATAGTACAGAGCAAGTCTATAACTGCGAGGCCAATCTGATTAATATTTAGTCGCCGCCCTGCAGAGGAAATCACGTCAGAGGGGCGCCGAACTGCGGAACTGCGCACCCCACTATGGGCAGCGTTATCAGATCAACCGGCCCAACTGTTTCTCCGGTCCCGGTTATCGTTGGAACTTTTTGTTTCCGCCAAGATTTCCAGACCAGCATCTCGAGCACCGCAAGCAGCAGAACAAACAACACCGCCAATATGCTCAAGCAAGCGTATGTAGAATGAGTCGCAGATTCTCAACGATTAACAATCTCTAACAATTTCCCCCAGCAAGCCCAAGAATGCCCGCGCCAAGCGCGAGATGAAAAAGCGCGAGCCACAACAGCACGAGAACCCAAAGACTACGCTCTTTGTCTCGGGCCAAAAGACGTCGCAGATCCTCAAGCTTGCCGTCGCCGATCTTACCACTATCAAGCGTCCCTTTTCCGAGCGCTTCACCAAGAAGAACGACATTCACCCCTTCGACGATGCCTCTTCGCTCGAGTTCTTCTCTCAGAAGAACGATACCTCGCTCCTCGTCCTGTCGCTGCACTCGAAGAAGCGCCCACACTGCCTGACACTCGCCCGTACCTTCTCATACAAGATGCTTGACATGCTCGAGCTCTACATCAACCCAGAAACATTCCGCACTCTGCAGCAATTCAAGAACAAGAAGCCCTCGATTGGTCTCAAGCCCATGATTAGCTTCCACGGCACCGTCTTCGAAGACCCCAATCAGACAAAGTACACTCTAGCCAAGAGTCTGTTTCTGGATTTCTTCAAGGGCCAAGACACAAACGAAATCGACGTCGAGGGCCTGCAATACCTCGTCTCCATCTCGGCCGAAGAACCCACCGACGAGCTTCCTAACCCACCCATCCGCCTGCGCTTCTACCTTCTGCGCACAAAGCGCTCCGGCCAGAAGCTGCCGCGTATCGAAGTCGAGGAAATGGGCCCACGCATGGACTTTACCCTCGGTCGCGAAATGTTCCCTGACCCAGATATGCTCAAGCAGGCCATGAAGACACCCAAGGGGGCAGAGGCTCGCACTAAGAAGAACATTGATATGAACGCCATGGGTGATAAGACGGCCAAGGTCCACGTCGGCAAGCAGGACTTTGGCAACCTGCAGACAAGGAAGATGAAGGGTCTCAAGCGTGGTCGTAATGAGGATGACGACGATGAGGAGGCTGGTGTTGAGGACAGCGCAAGCGAAGACGACGATGAGGGGGAAGAGAAGACACCCAAGAAGATGAGAGTATGAAGTGTGACAAGGACGTACTTACTGCATGGGCGGCGTTTATCGGAATCCATTCCTGGCGTTGAGAAAAAATGCTGAGCGAGACTTATACCATTTGAGTCATATGGACAACTTGCGTCCCTGGGAAAGAAAAAACAAAATGAAAAGCTTAATCAAAAATCGTGCGCGTTCTCATCATCAGTCGTTAAAGTGTCGTGAATTGATACGGAAAAAAGAAATACTTTATCAGTGCTGCAGCATAATTCTACTCATCATCTGGCTCATCAGCCAGCAGCCACTTCGCCCTACATTTCACCGCTGCAGTTCTAACCTCTCTCTTGCCATCGTCCAACGCAGCAATCAATCTTCTGACCACCTCCCTCCTATACTTGACCAACGTATCCTCCTTGAACTTATCCGCTGCAAGAAACAAACACTTGAGCGCCGCTACCCGCACACTTGGCGGCGGAGGCGGGCCCGTCTTGCCATCCTTGACTACAATGGCGTTGGCAAGAAGACGCGAGATGAGTGCGCCGGCGTGCTCTTCAAGTACAGCTGGCTTCTCGGCAAGTGTGCTGGTAAGCGTACCGATTGCTGCCTCTTTAACGGCATCAACGCCTTTGAGGTCGAGGGATTGAAGGAGCAGTGTAACGAGTTGACCGACTTCCTCGACTACAATGTCAAATGGCATCCATCGTAGCGCTCCGCTGAGTGCAATCAGGTAGTTTGGCTTCGTTTGAGCGTCTGCGTCGCGGAAAGCGGATGTAATGTTTGGTACTAGCAATGCGAAGCTCTTGTGCTTGTGCAGGCCAACAATCTGGCAGTGGTTCTCTTTGGTCAAGAGATCATCGGGCTGCAGCAGTGTGGTGAAGCCTTGGGCTACTGTGCTGCCGTACTTGGGGTGTGACAATAAGGATAGCAGTGTTGGGTACAGTGTATTCAACGCTGGACTGCTGCGTAGTACAATTCCCTTCAGACAAGCAAATATTATGCGTATCCGTGGCGGGTCTAGCTTCTCCGGGTTCAAAAGATCGAAATTTGCGATAAGAGGATCCATGCATGTTTTGAGTGCAGCCGAAGTGTAGTACTTGTTGATGATTAGTGACATCTGGCGGAGCGATGCTGATCGAACTGGGACAGATAGTGTGGGTTTCTGGACGTATTCTGCGAGAGAAGAAACAAGTAGTTGCAGTTCGCAGGGAAGAGTTGTATCTTTTCTGAAAGACGCGAGGAGATGTGTCGAAACGATCATAGTCCTGTCGGCCTCCACGCTTGAACCGGCATTGAAAGGTGGAAGTTCGGCTTGTGGTGTGCCACGGAACAGTGTGTATAGTTCTGCAGCGATAGCGTTCTGCAGATCGGTGGGTAGGTGTCTGATGATCAGGTTACAGATACGACCAACAAGATCTATGGTTGTCTCGTCGTTGAACGCTACCGGATGT